AAATGCGCCCTGTCTGTATGGTGTGTGTGTGAAGACGCTGGGTGTGTGTGTGTAGATGCGCCCTGTCTGTATGGTGTGTGTGTGAAGACGCTGGGTGTGTGTGTGTAGATGCGCCCTGTCTGTATGGTGTGTGTGTGAAGACGCTGGGTGTGTGTGTGTAGATGCGCCCTGTCTGTATGGTGTGTGTGTGAAGACGCTGGGTGTGTGTGTGTAAATGCGCCCTGTCTGTATGGTGTGTGTGTGAAGACGCTGGGTGTGTGTGTGTAGATGCGCCCTGTCTGTATGGTGTGTGTGTGTGCGTGAAGATGCGCCCAGTGTGTGTGTGTGTGTGTGTGAAGATGCGCTCTGTCTGTATGTATGTGTGTGTGAAGATGAGCCCTGTGTGTGTGTGTGTGTGTGTGTGTGTGTGAAGACGCTGTGTGTGTGAAGATGCGCTCTGTCTGTGTGTATGTGTGTGTGTGTGAAGACGCTGTGTGTGTGTGTGTGAAGACGCTGTGTGTGAAGATGCGCTCTGTCTGTGTGTATGTGTGTGTGTGTGTGTGTGTGAAGACGCTGGGTGTGTGTGTCTGTGTGTGTGTAGATGCGCCCTGTCTGTATGGTGTGTGTGTGTGAAGATGCGCTCTGTATGGTGTGTGTATGTGAAGATGCGTCCTGTCTGTGCTAGGCAGGCGTTCCACCCGGAGCTACGTGTGTGTTGCTGGTGTGTGTGTGTGAAGATGAGCCCTGTGTGTGTGTGTGTGCGTGAAGATGCGTCCTGTCTGTGCTAGGCAGGCGTTCCACCCGGAGCTACGTGTGTGTTGCTGGTGTGTGTGTGTGAAGATGAGCCCTGTGTGTGTGTGTGTGCGTGAAGATGCGTCCTGTCTGTGCTAGGCAGGCGTTCCACCCGGAGCTACGTGTGTGTTGCTGGTGTGTGTGTGTGTGCAGATGCGCTCTGTCTGTGTGTATGTGTGTGTGAAGATGAGCCGTGTGTGTGTGTGTGTGTGTGTGTGTGTGTGTGTGTGTGTGTGTGTGG